TTTTTTTTTTTTTTTTTTTTTTAAACAAACAAATCAATTATAACCGGGAAACGGGCCCGGCGTCCCTCACATGAATACTGCAGCACACAGGGCTGAGAGAGGCACTCCGGACCAGTCTCATCCCCAACTACAGTTATTCTCAACGTTCGAGACCCCTGCCCCCCGGCATCAGTACTCTCCGAATTCCAAAGTCTACCAAGTCTACCAAGTCTACAAAGTCTACCAAGTCTTCAAAGTCTACCAAGTCTACAAAGTCTAGAAAGTCTACAAGTTCTACAATTTCTACACTGAAACAAATCAAAAGTAAACCACAAGTAAATCAAAAGCAGTCAACAGGAAACATGTACAAGGCATATTCGTAAAGCTAAAAGAAGCCAGAAAAATCCAAATAAAACGTAAAGGATCACCGAAAGATCCATGATCAATGATCACAAAAAGAAATCAGAAAAGGCCAATGCAGGGAAGTTCCCCCCCTGCAAATTGACAGTACATATTCCAGGAAAGGCTCCCCATCTGGCACAAAACCATTTCACAGCTTTTGCCGAATGACTTTTCTTCTGCACTCGAAGCTCCCATCCTGCAGATATCGCCAGTTTAATGTTATATTTAACTTCAGCTCTGACCATTGGGGGGGTTGAGGCTGTCCCCAAGAGCACAAAGCTATCATCCCATCTAGCTTGCACATCCGGAGTCGGAACAGAAGAGTGCCGCCACCAATCCCAAAAGGGTCGGGTGAGGTCACACTGCAAAACAAAATGTTGAACGTCTCCTACTCGAGTTCCTGGACATATTTCACACAGCGGGGTAGCTTTGGTAGTCCTCCGTGAGCACCAAGTAACCACTGGCAGAGCCAGATGCATCATTAACCACAACAAACTAGCATGTTTCTTGTTGGTTAGATCCATAAGTTGTTTCCAAAAGCCCGGAATTGCTTGAGCCAATCTTGGCAAAGAATCTGCAATCCATCCAGTCCCCATCCACCTTCGTGCCACTGCCCAATTCACATCCAATTGTGGCCTTACCATCTGGTAGCCCAGTTTTGTAGTATAATCTTGTAAAAAAACCAATTTTCCCGGATCACGGGGATGTTGCCATGCCCAATCTCTAGGATCTACCAGCAGGTGTGAACACAGAGTTTGCAAACAGAAAGGTCGATAACTGTTGTTTTGTTCAATCACACACACCGGCTGCATCTGTTCCAGTGGAGGGAGAGGTATCTCTTCTTGTACACACCGAAGAGGCTCTCCATATGAGAAGGCCTGACCTTGAACTTCCCAACATGAGTAGGGTATATCTGTCACTTCTGAGTACGTTTCCTTTCTCCAAACATATCGCGGCATAACCTGATCTTCCTGTTTATACCACAAACCATCGGCCAGCTCAAGGCCCCTCCTTAAAATCTCTAGCCAGGTCTGTGGTACCGCTTCATGTAACTGCTGAAGATGCTGTTGTTGGTGCCACAATCCTGTCAAAGTGGGTGCCAGCACTTCGAATGTTTTCCAATCCGATGAATGAACATCCCACAAGTCTGAAAGGGTACCGATTCCTCTACCCATCCATGCATTCCCAAATTGGCCAGGTCCAAAACATGCAAATGGTAATCCCTGGGCCGTCAGTATCCAGGGGTTATTAAACAAAGGTTGAGTAAGCAATCGCTCAACTTTTGCCTCAGGGTCACATCGAAATTCTTCACCAAATTCAAAATACAAAATAGAATTTAAAAATAACTGTTTTATTTTTATTTTTTTTTATGTTTTTGGCCCGGTCGGGCAAGTGACCCCGGGCCACACTGGTAACCTAGTCTAATGGTCGTTAAACGTGCTCGCCCACTCAATAATTTCATTCTCGTTTTATTTTTTCTAATTGTCATTATTATTATTTATTTTTAGTATTTTATAATTTTATTTTTATTTTGAAACGGTATTCACCAGTTCGCAGTAGCACATGCAGATCCCAGGGATCGATCCCTAGTTCCCCATCTTACCTGTGTATAGTATTGATGACAACCCGTAGATTTGAACCTGCGACCTGTCGAAACGCCAGTGGTAGGTAGATTGTCGTAGGTCACAGCTTAGAAGGGAATCGAACTGTAGACCTGTAAGGTAGGAGTCTAGACAGTTCCGAAGTCGTAGCTGTAGGATATCTGAAGGGTCAAGGTCGTAGCTGCTACTTACCTGAAAGGGCAAAGTCGTAGCTGCTACAGTACCGAAAGGCCAAAGTAGAAGTTTCTAGAACTGGCCTTTCGGAGTCAGCCCCTGTTTAGGCCGAGGCAAGTGGGCAAGTGGTGTAGGTCCACTACGTAGAGTCAGCAGTCCCAGGTAGCCCAGTCTGGTCTAGTCAAGCAGGTACCGTCTGGGACTGTGCACATCGTGTGCCAAGGGATACAGGGCAGACCAACGCCGCACAGAAGTATAAATCAMGAGGCTGCGTCCAGCCATTCATTCATTCCTGCGGATGCCATGCGGAAGCGCTGCCTCAGCAGCTTGTGCGGGGAGGTCTGCAGTGCGCCCGAAGACGAAGAGGGCAGTGAAGTGTAGTGTAGCGATAGGGTAGTGGCAGCCATAGCTGCCATAGCTATAGTAGTGTGTGTGTGTGTGTGTGTTGCGTGTAGAGTGTTGCGTGTGGGACA